CACCATGGACTTGACCTTTGCACGTTTATAAAAAATCCTTGGTTTTTAGGTTTGTTAAAATCTTGACAACCCCTAAAGTCAGTCTAGTCCAATCTGGTTCTGGTCTCCTTCACATGTGAATCAGGTTTCTTGATCTGCACCAGTTCTAGTCCCTTAAAGACTGGGTGTCTAGTGCTTTATGTCAAAACTGAATTAATACAATAATGAACCTAATCAGCCTTTAGAGTGAATTTGACCTTTAACCCTCATGACGGTTGTATTTATTGGATTAAAACTCAAATACCACATCAGTTCGTACCTCGGTTGGTGAAATCCACTACTGAGGCCCTTGGTGCAGTGTCTCAGCCTGTTGGTTGGTTGGTTGGTTGGAGGCTTGTTGCTGGCTGCCATGTTTGTTGTGAATGAGCCTCTGACTCTTGTCGTCCTGCAGGAACACACCACAGACCTGTCTGCAGCTCAGCCTGAGGTGTAAGTCAACTTCCTTCATTTTCTCCAGCGTTTCCTCCAAACTCCACCTCTGTCCTCACACTCCACCATCTCATCTCCTCCTCCAGGCTCAGTGGCTGTGACACTGAAGACCTCAAACCTCTCACCCTGCTGGACTTGATATCAGGGCTTCGCCCCCTGGTGGTGTGGATGTCCAACAGTCTGGAGCTGCTGCAGTTCATCCAGTACCAGCTGCCTCTGATCCTGGACTGGAGGAGCAGGAAAGACCAGGGATGGGTGGAGGAGAAGGGTGAAGAGGGGGAGGACAGTGAGACCAGGGAGGCAGAAACATTAGGTCAGAAACCAAATGCATAAAGTTAGCATAAAATGTGTGTCTAGACAACTGATATGAACTCTGACGCAAAATCTTGTGACAGCAACAAAACATTCTCTTATGGTTCTTAAAGTGTCATCTGTCAACAAACACAAACCTGCTTTATTTAGAAATCACATTTACTGATGAACAATAAAAAAAAGTAAGTAGTAAGATTGAAAATCTAGTTTTAACCAATGTATTAAAAAACAGAAACAAAAACATAACACAGAGGCAGAGAAGAAAATTCAAACAGACAGAATGAATCTCTGAGTTCTTATGATCTCAGAGAGTGATCTCAGTGTATGGACTAGAGATCGAGGTTGTTTTGACGTCTTTTCTGTTTGTTTGTTTTTTCAGACCAGTTGGAGGATCCTCTGTCCTGTATCCACTCAGCCAGGGATGAGACCATGGCCGTCCTGGAGGAGGTCATCATGTTGGCCTTCCAACAGTGTGTCTACTACATCACCAAGGTAAGGACGTGGAACATTCAAACCCATAGATGAAACCCAGGAATCGAGGGAATGTGGTCGGTTTGTCATTCTGTCAGACGTTGCTGCATTTGTGCAGCAGTCTTCTCCATCCACACGGTTCAATCGTCCAACACTGAGGCCTCCATCCAGGCTCCGTCCATCCCGCCTCCATCCGGTCCCCTCTCTGATTATGATGTGTAGTTTTAGAAAAGGAAAATAATTAGAGACGGCACTGAGAAGAAAGAAGCCAGTTTGCTGCTCTGGCAGCTTTCTAATAGAAGCAGCAGCCACTGTGCCAGACCACACTGAGGGCATTATGACACGGGGAGGCAGGACACTGTAGGCCTTTGTGTGTGTGTGAGTGTGTGTGTGTGTGTGTGCATTTAGGCAATGAAGAAGGAATCGATTGCTCCAAATGAAGCCTAGAACTCTGAAGACTGATTTGGACAAAGATCACAGACCGTTTATGGATGTAGCTGTTTAGATTTGGAAAAGCAGAGCAGGAAATAGACATACAACAGGTGACCACTAGAGGGCGAGTCCACCAGTTGTGAAAAGTGATTGTTTCAGTGCAAATTGATTTTAATTGATTTCTTATGTCAGAAACATTTTATTCTGAACATCACGTCTGTCTTACAAGTTTCCATCACATTCAGAGAAGAACAGAAGAAAGTCTGAGGACGTGCACGTGCCGCATCATCCAACAACACTGGAGAGTTGGGCCCCCCACTTTGAGAACCACTGATCTAAGGCAGTATCTCGTTCCCCAGAGTTCACTGCTGATATCATCTTTGGACTGACTTTAGTGTCGACTCCTCTCCCCACACTTCTCTGTCCATAACGTTCTCATTGGCTCTCGTTGGTAGCCAATAGGAGCCACCACCAAGTATTGCCTCAATCTTCAATGAGAATGCTGTTAAAAAGGAGGACTTTTCTGTAGATCTCAGAGAGATTTTTGTCAGGAAACAGGTTTTGGGTCTGTAGAAAGCATGAAAAGAAGTTTTCTCTCTCTATATATTTTTCATATTGCTCCTTTAAATGCAGATGAATCTGACTTTATTCCCACCACACTATAAACCTCACATTTCCACTGATGCACCACACCCACCACATTAACATCCTGCGAGGAAAGTTTTCAGACGGAGTTCCACTGGATGGAACTTCAACATAATAAAATCCTAATGAGCTGAACGTTCCTCCGATCTCCTCTACAAGGAATTCCTAACGAGCAGGAGTCTTCAAACCCAGCGGGAACCACACAGAATGAATGACAAATGAACAACAGGAGCATTAGGACTGCAGCGGAGCCAAACCCTGGTCTCACATGAGCTGCCAACTGGACCACAGCTGGACTGCACGAGGCCCAGAACCAGAGTCAGAGAAATGTCATCTGGTCTTTAAAGAACAAACGTTCTCTCCTGTAGGTTCCACACAGAACGTGGATGGGGTCCATCCACCTGGACCCCAGAAAAAGATGCTGTATGTTTCTCTCCTCGTTTCCAAAGTCCGACTCTGGAACCAGACGAGTGCCAGATGTGGTTCGTCCGTGGATCCATAAATAATCCAGAAACAATAATAACAACTGTGGCCACGAGGTCTGAATATAGACAGACCCAGTCTGACATGTTCCATCAAAGTCTTGGTTCCCATGGTAACCAGAGCTAATGATCATAAAAGGTGTGTATGGGCAGATGATCTGCTGAAGAAGAAGGCCTAGAAGATCACTCTGATCAGAATAATGTTTTAGTTTGGGTTTCATTCCCACAGTCCACCAGGCTGTGTATGGACCTGGTATTTGGAGTCTTTCTTGGTCCAGGTTGGTCCAGTCCTGACCTTGGACCATCCATCATCACTGTCACCTCACAGTGAGTCCTGTCAGACTTTTGGAGGAATGTTCAGTCACTGGTATTGAGCTGACGTGGCCTTAAACCCCACTGATTCAGTCTGCCCCCCGCCCCCACCCATCATGAAGATGATTTATGACCCAGCATGCAGTTTGTCCTGGGGAAGGGGACAACATGGGGAAGGGGAGGGGGACATTTTCCCAGAGTGTAAACTGGACAGACAGGTAAATATAAAAGACCAAAATCTGAGTCTGGGTTTACTCTGTGGACCAACAGAAGGTTCTGGACTGAACCAGAGCCGGAGCGGGAACATTTTCTCAAATATCTGTTTATTTAGGAGTATTCCGTGTATTTGCTGTAATTACTGTGTGATGGAAAACAAAAGGCGCCACTGGTGAGAGAGTTATTCCGTACCAGAGACATGTCCTGATGAATTCCGAGGCACTCAAACGGACTTGTGGTTGGCCAGAGTTTATTTGTCCGTCAGTATGAATGCAGAGAGACGCAGACAAAGGCGGGAAGCGGGGTTCAGTTTTCTGACTGGGATGTATGTGGTGATCCAAGAATTCCTGATGAAAAAGTCCAGTCTGGTTTGGCTCCAGGGAGCGACATTTTCCAGATTGACACTGGGAAAACTCTGAGGACGACGACCCTCAAAGGTCTTGGTGAGAAAACCCCAGTCAGTCCAGGTCCTAAACTCCACAACATTCAGAGCCCTGGTACAGTTTGGTGCAGGATCAGTGCGTTCATGTTGAACCTGGTTCTGACTGAACTGCAGTGTAAACCGATCCAGTCTGGATTCCTGCAGAAACCCTTCACTCAGCAGTTCCGTGGCGCGGCCGTGCCAAGCCCACACCAGCCATATTCCATGTTTAAGGAATGTGGGTGCACGGCTGGCGCGGGCCTCGGAAGCTCAGTGTGTGTCAGAGTCCGAGCGGAGAGAGGAGAGGAGATGTCTGCGGACAATTAAAACCCTGAACAAAGCCAGCGTTGTTTTGGGGGCTCGGGCTGAGGAGTGGAGAGGAGCAGGGCTCTGGCTGAGGCAGAGGAAAACCTTCTCCTCCTCCTCCTCCTCCTCCTCCTCCAATGGTGCCTCGGCTGCTGGTGTCAGTAATTGTGCATCAGTCTTGTGTCGCAGCCTGAAACACAGACGGCACAGACGCTTTGGGTGGTCTGGAAGCCAGGATCTGAAGGGTGGGGTCTCTGAGTTTATCCCAGTGATTAGAACATCAGTCACACATCAGGCATTAAGGTTTTCCAACCTCAACACTGAGCCGCAGGAATCATCGACGTTCATCGGTTCTGGAGTCGCAGGGAACTCCTCGTAGATTCATCGCTGAATCACAACAAACCACAGTATTAGCAGATCACACAGGACCTAATACATTTAAATGATTTATCCTGTGAAGTCCTGCAAGAACAGCAACTTTATTTCTTAGAACAAATGTTCTCAATTTTTTATTTCAAGTGTTTAGCTTTTGTTTAAGTTCATTTTTAGACAATTTTGGCTGTTGTTAACTTTTCTGGGCTGATCGAGGGTTCTAAATTTTCACTTCTTTTGTTGTTTTTAGGATTTATTTTATTGTACTGTAATAGATGGAGTCAGAGTAGAAGAAGCAGAGAACAGGGTGAAATGGAAAATTTTGATATGCTGTGGCAACCCCTGAAAAAGGGACAAGCCAAAAGAAGAAGTATGTGTTGTACTGTTACATATTTAACATTTAACTATTTCCAATCTAATAACAAGAAATATTTGGTTTTACTGGTTTAAGCTCATTAAGCTATGTTTTGGCTAACATTTAGAATCAATGTATACTAGTATTCAAATATATATTTCCTTTCTTTAGTTCCTGTACCCGATCCTACCTGGACTCCTGGACTGCAACCCATTCAGAAAGTCCTCAGACCACCAGGTGACCACGGGTGAATATTCCAGAATTTTCAGCAACAACGGACTGCAGGTCCCTGGTGAGGTT